ACTTTACTCTCCAACCTAGAGATGGCGTCCAACCTATCGCCTCCTATCCTATTAGAGAAAGATGTAAGTTGAAATGGAAAGTGTGGGATGCCAAAAGGACACAGCCTTATGATGTCATACCAGATCCATATCCCAACTATAGCGCGATAAAAACATGAGGCTGCATGCGTCAATCGTGTGTGCTGCATCCTTTTTTTTGCCTTGTCCATCCGCTTCCGCCCTGTTGTTGCTCTGGAGTCTTAACACTTTTGGTTGGAGACAAACGTAATTCACTTGGATCTTCTCACCTTTTACGGCCATCTTCTTCACCCCCTTCACACCCGGGGTACAACACCTCAAACGATCCTGGTTTTGAGCTAGAGCACCATTATAAACCCCTGGTTGACAGCTCAAGACTTATAAACCAACTATAAACACCAACCAAGGCATTACAGCACCATTCTAAGCCCCTATCAGGTTTTGTATGGCACCCCCTTCCGAACCTCATGGAGCTCAGCTCTGATGATTTCATGGTTAAGTCTGACAAAAAGCCTTGGTCCGTAATATCCAATCCGGGCCAATCAGTTCCATCCGCCGTAGCACCAGGTCCGCTTCCGACCCGTAGCACCTGCTTGGGCCGAAGCCAACCCGCACGTCCGGCCCCAGGAGGCGGCGCAGGTGCTCCATATGGCCGTCAAAGCGGCGGAGGCGTCGCCCGCGGGCTGAGCGTGGCCTCCGGGCCTACGGGAGGCGGTGGGCGTGGCGGTTTGGGCCACCGTGGTTTTGTGGCAGCATGGAGAAACCATGACTGATCCAAATTCAAGAGGTATGAAACCGCCTGCCTTTTGTAAGAGCAACGCTCTTGAACTCTGATTCCATGGGGAAGTGGGGGAAATACACTCTCCATCCACTACGTGGATGGAGACATGGAACTGAGTTCTGACCAAACAGGTGGTGAACTCACTCCACTTCCATGAAGTGCTTGTGGACTGAGGTTCATGAGGGTGAGTAACTCGGGGTCACTGTTGATTGGAGACGCCAATGGTTCTTCCGCCGGAGGTCTGATTCTGTTGATTCTGATGCGTCTTGCCCCCCCAGCATGGCCCAAGCAGAATGGTGTCTTTGGTCGTCAATCCTCCAGGCCTGAGGTTCCTCAACAGCCAACATGACGACCGGACATATCTGAAAAGCACCCATGGATGATGAGCGAGCTGTCTGAGATGTGATTCAAAAAAGACATCCATTACCGCCCATGGATACCCTGCAAACATCATTTGCAAACGACAATTGCATCCTGTGAATAGTACATTCAGGCTGGGTATCGCTCCAAGTCCAAGTCAGTTGCCACGTCCAGAGCTTGCAAGGGTTCATTGTTCCCTAGCTTAGCTCTTAATGACAAATCGACCGGATCACAAGGGGGGTAAATGGATCATTCTGACTCCCCCAGATCTTGAACAGATCCATTCTATCCTGGCCTATCAGATCTATGATGATACCATACAACTCACTGGAAGTGGATGGCATGGCCTTTGAGATGACGACGTTCCTCGTCACCAAACCAGACTGCTGCGGGTCCTCTTCCACTCCACCTGTCCGTCGGAAGTCCGTCCAGCGATCGCCGCGGTCGCGTCGCGTCGACCGACGGTGCCAGTCATGTTGATGTCTACTTGGGCTGCCGTCACTTAGGAGCTTCTCGATCACTTCATGTTGATGGCTTTGTTCCAGTTCCCAGATCCTTTTACACAGTGTTTTTTGATGTTTTTTGACACATCTTTGAGAGAGCTGATCAACCAACTATATAGTTAACCTGCCAAAAACCCACAAAGAAACACCCTCCCGCCTTCCGCCAGCCAGCCCCCCGCTTCCGGTTCCTCTCGCCTTCTCTCGCGCGGTTCCGGTTCCGACCCTCCTTCCGGTTCCTCTGGTTCTCGCATCTGAAGACACAGGTGGCGCTTCCGAAGCTGAAGACGCTCAACCTCTCCAACAACCAGCCGTTCCTTGGTCGACCTGTCCAGACCCACCGTCGGGGCCGCGGATGCACCCCGGGCGGTCTGAAAGGAGCGGAAAGGAGGGCGTACGTTTGTCGCGACGAAGCGGTCTTAGTGGTGTGTTTTTGTTCCTGGCAAAAGTCCGACCACCAAGTGGTTCTTGGTTTAGTTGTTGAATTGTCTTCAAGCAAAAGAGCCTCTTGCTTGAAGGATTGCTTGGCGCCCAAAGCCCTGGTGAATCAAGCTATGTAAAATGCTCCGAAGGCGAAAGGGGCTTCGATGCACCGAGTTACCGGCCTTTGCGTCGGACTGGTCGAGTCTGGATGAAACAGAGACCATCATGCAGAGACCCAAAACAACGTGGAAACAAAGACAGGGGGGAGCATGCTGGAACTTCCCAGTGTTCATTGTTGGCTGTTAGTGGTGTTTTGACCTGTTTTCTACGTGATAAAATGGATGTTCAATTAGTGTTGTTCCGTGAGTTGACCACTCGGCGTGTTCCGCCTCGCGCCCCGCACGAACCGCACGAACCGAAGTCCGGTCGACGACCGGTCCATTGGTGGGTTGTTGGGGTTCTTTGGATCGTTCAAGTGGGCGTAAGAGCTATTAACCCTGGGGCTCCTGGCCCACCTCCTGAGAAGATGGTTGGGGTTGGTTTTGGGGGTCTAACCACCGAACCTGAGGAGATGGTTGGAGCCCTAGGGCTAAGAAGAATTCCAGTGCGGTGCTTCCAACGAGAGAATCCGACACTTCCGACTGCTGAGGTGTAGCGTGGTCTGATTGCCGGGAGACTTTCCAATCCAGTTGACTTGAAGATCCATCGAACAACTCTGTGGTCTTCCAAATTGGTCTTGTACCACGCGTTGGACCAGTGCCTTGCGGGGATATATCTCTTCATGTTGGGCCGCTGCGGCTCCCGGGTCCGAACTCCTTTTTCGGGCGGGTCCGCCCTGCCCGAGCGACGCCGAGGACGGCGATTGGCACACGGGCCGTGGCCGATGCCTTGCACGTGAACGACGTGATGGCCCGCGGGCGGGTGGGGTTCTGGTCTACTGGCGGTGGGGGCTATAGGCGGTACGGTGTCCATTTTGGGGAGTGTGTTCCTTTTTTCTTCCTTAAACAGTGTGTCCACATGTTGTTGGGGGGACCGAATCCGAGTTTTCGGGTGCCTGAAGATGTTTCAGGGGCATTTTTCGGGTCTGTCGTGGTTGCAGCGCTGTGTTTCTGAACCAAACTGGGCCCAATCGTCGACTGAAACCTCACCCGGCTGAGCCCGGCACAAGTGGAAGTCTGGTGGCTGGGTACGAAGGGTTGAAGGGAGGCTGGTGACCTGGGCCGACACACACCACACGCAACGCGGCGAAAAGCACGTGCCCAAAGAAGGGAGGTATGCCTTTGCAAGGAGGAGGCAGACGCGGCATGTCTTTTACCTACTGGAGCTTCTTGGAGGTGCTACACAGCAGCATGGGTTAACAGCATGAGTCCGTGGTTTGTTGTGGTTTCCCCCGGAATCCAACAACTTCTTCATACCTTTTTCGGGAGATGAAGCTCGCATTCAGCATGCCAAGCACTCGCTTCCGGGTTGCTCCGAGTAGATGGAACTGAACCTGTCAGGTGCTGTGGGGTGGTCGGGTGGTGCAAGGCCACACGCCTGGCCCATGTTAACTGCCACACGGCTGCCACGCTTCTTAGTGGTGTTCAGGTCACCCTTCGAAGAAGTGTGAACACTCATTCACATTATGACCTTTCTTTGCCCCCCTCCCTGAGCCAAAAACTCTCCTAAGTAGGACCTGGCGCGCCGTTGTTCCCTTCCCTCCCGCCCTTGCGTCGTTGCCTCTCACGTCCCCACGTCGTCTTTGCAGGAGCGGCTCCAACTGGACCGCTGCGATCATCGCGATCCGGACCACGGCTACGAGGGCTTGATCGGCTATCTCCCCGTGAACACCACCTTGAGGCCGGCGCGCGGGCGCGACACAGATCTGGTGACCTGTTTCAGGGATGGATTGAGGAGGTGAGCTGTCGTGGGTGGAGCCCCATGGTCGGTTGAAGGCCCCACAGTGTGTGTGCGTGAAATTCGAAGGGTTGCAGGAGGACGAAAGAGAAATGGTACAACGTTTTCAGCACCACCAGCTGGTGAAACGCCCGCATTGTCCCTGACTCGGTGCACTTCACACGATCGCCGTGTTTCTGGGACTTCACGTGTTTCACGAAGGAAACGCCCGGAGCTTCACCGGGTCGACCGACCCCGTGGAGCGATGGGATGGGATGGTGTGCCTTTTTGGGGGAAACACAGACAGACCTTTCACCAAGGGTCCCAAAAGGTATAGGGGATGGGTTATGGATGGGTCGGACCACATGGTAGGAGATCATCTGAACGGAGTCCATCCGTTCGAGCTTCGGATCTGAACGGGATCCATCTCTCCACCTCTCTTGGTGTGATTCAAGGTCATCCCCTCCAGACTTCACTCAGACTTCGTGCGAAAGGGATGAAGGTGCCAAGAGGCGGAGGGATGTCCGGTGAAAACGTCTTGGGACCTCCCTGGCACCGGTGCCAACGATCCAGGCACGTACCGTGCTTAAGGACACCTCTCGAGAGACCTTTCGTGTGTTTCATGTCTTGCGCAGTGACAAGTGCATCCTTCCCAGTTCACCTTTTGTAGACCTTCCACTACATGCATCGAGTGGTTCACCTCTTGCGCTGCTCCAAGCGCCAGAGAGAGTATTGATCCTGTGGATGTTGGTTTCGAGGTTCATGGGTCCTTAAATTAGGTGCTGTCAAAGTATGTTGGAAGAGAAGCTTTGACCAGTGCTGAAAACCATACCCACGGCCTCTTTCAAGTATATTGGAAGCTGCCAAAGGCTCTTGCAGGAAGTCGGAGCTACTTGGAAGACTGCAGCATTTGTGCTTATCAAGCATTCGGGTCCAGACATCATGAGCAGACATAGCAGGACATAGCAGGCACAGAGACAGACTCTCATCCAATAAAAAAGTAACCTGCATCAACCTGCATTTTCTTCCGGCAGACCTTTCAATGCCAACCCAAAAGCTCTGGGGCACCGTTTTTCCCTCCCAAACCCACGCCGATGAGCGCCCCAATCGACGACGAGAGGAGCCCAGTCGCCGTGTCCGAGATCCGCTGGTCCGTGGACGAAATCGGACCAAACGGGTCGGGACCGTTTCTTTTGAGACCGACACCGGGGCTATCCGTGTAATCCACCATCAAAAAGAGATACCACGCCTGGCTCTATCCTAAGCCTATATTCTATCCACCCCTAATATATATATATATATATATATGTAAGTCTTTTATAGAAGTGAGTGGATGATCTTTTTGGCCGCCACCCCATGTTCAAAAGGTTTCATGTGTCACCCCGGGGCTTGGGCCAAGCGAAGGCTTCTTTTTTAAGGGGCCCCCCCCTTTTCAACTCCAACTCCGGTGGAACACCACCCCGCGGCTTGGATCGACTGGTGTTCGCATCACCTGGTCCCAGACGTCTCAACTCAACCAGAAAGAGTGCCCGCGTGCGCGCCAGAGTAGAGATCCATGTATACGGAAATAGCTCAAAACTGGGGAGTTTCCTATCCCAAACGCTCCATGTATGGAATAAATGCCGATCAGTTGGGGTGATTTGGGGGGTCAACTGATCGGCATATATGGCATACATGGAGTGTCTGGGATCCATTTCTCTTCTGCTTGGGACATGTTGGGACGGGGTGTGGCACGGCGTTAGACGCCTGGGGAGGGTCTTCGGACCGGACGCCAGTGGTTTCAGAGGCGAGTTGTATGGCACGGACCCCCCTGGGAGGGTCCTGAAAAGAGCTGAAAAAGATGGTTCAGAGCCTTTCAAGCACCGAACTTGTGGGCGCAGGTGTGTGCCATCGAGCCAGACGAATCAAATGAAAATCCGTCACATTGGATGGAGGAACTGGGTGCCCAACTCCTTCCTTCCCTCCATGTGACTGGAAAGCAAAACTTCAAGACTGAAAATCCATTTTAGCTCGTTTAGAATTCTTCACAAACCGTGTGAACCCACGACCATACAAACGAAACGCTTTGGAGCCCCGCTGCGGCGACCTCTGACTGTTGACCGTGACGACGCTCGACGCGCGAAGAGAACGACGCGCTCGGGTGCAGGAGCTCTGGATCTTCGCCGGAGAGCGGTCCCGGTCGGTCTCCGAGGAAGCTGGGTGGATGGGAGCTCGGTTTTTTTTTGGCCAAACAAATGCACCGCGTGTGGTGGAAAAAGCTCGTGTATGATGGCATGTTTTCGACGGCTGGGGTCAGGTACGAGCGTAGTCACCTATATAGTGGAGGTGACTCTTATGGGACGTAGGAACGCAGGTATGCGACCTTCCGTTGGATTTATCATATGGATGTCTATGTTTCTCGGGAGAGAGAGGGGCGTGAAGTCGAAACTCGCATGTGGTTGTGAGTCAAAGCCTCCCCAAACGATGTGTCTGATGGTTAAATCCCTTGCAGAGGAGTTTGATCCCATTCACGTTCTGTTCCACTATTAAAAGAATGGAACAACCTGGTGTAGTGTGAACATCTTTAGTAAAGCCCTGGTTCTTTGATGTTGACTATTTAACGGTCAACCAGGGTGCCTCACTTTTGACCCTGAGCCATGTGAGCTACGTACTTGATAGGGTAACACCGTGTGAAAGTGGATCATGTTGGCGGTGTTCATCCACCACATGGATTTTCCTCTCTCGAAGCCTATTTTGAAGGGACAAAGTGCCTTTTTCATGAATGACCAATTTTCATCATCATGTCACAAGTGTTTTCTTCCCATAGAAGAATATGATGGGAATATCTTGGGGATGATCAGACCCTGGCCATGACCCGTAATAGTCCGTAAATCCGAATATCACTTTTCTAGAGAAAGGATTGCAACTGAAGCATGCAGAAATCCACTGTAAGGGGATAGACCCGAGCTATGGTATCACTTCATTCTGTCTCAGTCAAGACTGGACCGACCTTTGTTTCTGGCCGACCCAGTGGTTGGGTCAATTTCCGGTATACGAGGCGTCGTGCTGCTTCGGACGAGAGAATCGTCGTGCTTCACCGTTCGTTCGTCACCGTTCGCGTTCACGCGTTAATCACTTCGATCGAGACGGAAGCCGTTCCGTGGTTCCGAGCTTTGCCCACCAGCACTGACTAGCTTCTTGTTACTACTAGTAAGGCACTTGTTACTAGTAGCGATGCACTTGTTACTAGTAGCGATGGGAGCCCCCTGGCTTTGCCCAAAAGTCGCCGTTTTTGGACTTCGAACAATCGCTTCCTTGGGAGCTTCCCATCAAGAACTGGGTGTTGTTTGGGACCATGAGACAGAGGGAAGAAAGACCGATTTCGCATGCTTTCACTTTGTAACTTCCACCCTCCCTGCTCAAGCGGCCACCTCTTTCATTTGGGATAGCTATACTTCCTAACTGTACATTCCTCGGGGACGAGGCGTGTGCACGGCGTGTGGCGTGGGTTGTTCCACGCAGAACTGCCACGGCGTGAGGACCTCAGTGGAGCGCCGCGAGGGCCACGCCATCGAAGCTCACGCTGCTTGGGCGACCAACCCAGCGTGTTGGGTCGGCATCGTCTGTGCCGAGCGTCACCTGAAGGCACTCTCCGTGCGAAAGACTCTCCATAGCAAGGCAGGTCCTCATCAAGCGCTGGGTAACTTGTGCAAGCCGTCCCGGACGCGGCTCCCGCGGGGAGAGAGCGAAGGGGAGACGAGCCGATGGAGCCGTGCGTTCCGGGGTCGTGGGCTTCAGAACCCAGTGGTGAGACCGCTCCCAGAAACTCCTGCGTTGTTTGAACCGAGTGAATGAGGGCTCGGTGCACGAAGCGCCGCACGTCGCATCCAGTCGCCTTGACGATCGGACGGTGCTTTCTGGCGTGGTCCCTGCACGCACATGTACCAAGGGGTTGAGCTCAGCTGGGTCATCTCCGGTTTTTCCTAGCAAAACTTGGGACATGTCTCATCTCACAGAGCAACATGAGTCCTGATCCTCATCCTCTGATCCTATTTTGTCTCACTGAGGTCATCGATGACTTTGAGTCGATTGATCTGGAGGAAGAGGTCCCTGATGAGGACTCCATCCCAACGCCGCAAGCCGCGCCGCAAGCACCCACGGATGCATCCAAGGCGGGGACCGACATCGGCCAGTTGGAGTGGATAAGTTTAGGGGATCCCAGTTACCACATACACATCCATCAAACCAGCCAGGGTAGGCAGAAATGTTGCATAAGTTGGAAGATCTAGGAACTAGCAACAGCACATAGTATGGTACAAGGAACTAAGTATCAGGTTTTTAGGATCTCTCGGTGTGTGGAATCTGAGGTTCCCCCCTTTGCTACCCGAGCCTTCAGTTCATTCAAAGAGTTCAGAAGAATCTGGTGTGGTCGAACATCCGAACAGTAACAAGTTACAAGTCGTTCAACTTGAATGTCATTTGACCAGTTCACCGAACTTGCAAGAGTTTTCAGCCAACAGTACCAGTTCCTTGAGTTCAGTTTCTCAACATCCTTTGTATATGTTACCCAAGCAACATCCTAATCCTCCTCCGCGGCGCCAGGAACGACTGGCCCGCCTGGTCGCCATCATCGAGCGCATGCAGCCGACCCGCATGGAGATTCTCCGCTCAGTGCCGATGCATCGCATGGTGCAATGCTTCGGGCAGGTCTTTTGGGCTTCAGCAGAGCGAGAGTTCTTCCACCTGAGCCAGGTGACGGAGTTCTATGATGAGTTTCTCAGTCATAGCTGGCAAGTGGAAAGTTGGAAGAAGGTCTTGCTCTTGATCACACTCAAAAACGGTGCTCCTGCCTGTGTGATGGGAACTTTGGGCGCCGCGATCATGATGGTACTTTTTCAGCTGGACTTCTTGCCTGGCTTTAAAAAGTCGCACTTGCACTTCCAATGGTCCTTTTGGTCCTCTGCCGTGGGGATCGTTCTGGCACTGATGACCTTACTCTTTTGGAGGCCACGGGGCTCCGTTTTTGTGGATCGAATGTGCATCAATCAGTTTGACGGACGCATGAAGGCAGAAGGAATTATGAACATTGGAGCGATCCTCAAGGTGTCGAAGTCCCTTCTGGTTGTATGGGATGATTCATACGTTGAGAGGCTTTGGTGCATGTTCGAGATGGCGGCATTTCTCAAGGCTCATCCAGACACGGAGAAAGCTGCAAAACTGGTGCGGGTGCAGCCTGTGCAGTTGGGAGTCATAGTCTTGCCGATCAGCCTTCTTTTTGCAGTGCTGGGCATTAGTGGAATTGTCAATCCAGCAGAGAATGTACTGGCGATCTGGTCCATCCTTCTTGTGATGATCATTCTGGCAGGGTTATTTTGCTGCCACACCCTTCGCAGATACTATCGTTCGCTTGAAGCGACCAATCGCAGGCTGCAACGGTTTGAACTGCAGAAGGCATTCTGTTGGTGCTGCAGTGTGAATCACATCAACCCGACCACCGGTCAGCCCATCGCCATGTGTGATCGGGAGATTGTTCGTCAGTGTGTGACCAGCTGGTATGGCTCTGAAAAAGAGTTTGATCGTTCGGTTCGAACTGTTGTGGCCACCGCGCTGAAGCCTGAACATGGAGGAGCAGGTGATTTTTAATTGATTTTGTTATTTTGATTTCCAACCTTTTCCCGAACTGGGTGAAAGTTCCCTTCTGGAAAAAAAAAAAGTTGTGTGTCCAGCTTTCCTTAATCATTTCGCACAGCAAAGTCCGAGGAAGCAGCAGTTGGGATGCGATGCCCTTCCATATGGATGGATCCTGGGCGGAACATCTTCATTTCTTTGGCCGCTCTTGGATTTGCTGGCATCCTACTATCGAGACGAGCCTTGTCGAAAGAGTGAGAGGCTGAACCTGCGCGAAGGTTCGCCGGGACCGGCGGTGCCCGGCTCGAACCCGCTTCCGCCCTCGGACGGGCGGAAAAGGGTTCCGCAAGCCGCTGGCGTCGTTTTCGCTGCACGGTCCAAATGTTTCGCAAGAAGGGTCCAAAGAGATGTTGACACAGTGTCAGAGTTGATGTGTGGGTGACTCACTGTTGGGTGGTTTTTCACCAGACCGCCCTGAACAAATTTGAACCAAACTCCCTGACTTGAGTCAACATTGATGTCGTTCACTTTTGTGTGGACCACCGAGTTTTGCCGGTCGTGTCCAGTGTCCACAACTCTTGGCCAGCCTCTCGCACACGAGAGAAGCACAACACAAAAACCGTTCCTGCACCATCGGCCGTGGATGTGGATGACAGGGGCATCCAACTCCTTCCTCCGGTGACGAACGCCGGGCACTCCGACCCAAAAACCTCCGCTCGTGACGAACTCAAAGCTTCGTACGCTGAAGTGAAGGACCTGGTCCGGCACTTAGTCCCCAACTACGTGATCCGCTTTGCGGCCTATTGGCTTTGGATGATCCCCACAGTGGCCACGGTGGGGCTCTTCCTCGCGCGGTGCTTTCGGGCTCAAGCCCGATCGAAGCTGGGAGTCCTGGCGATCAAGTCCGGTGCTGTCCTGGCTGGGACCCTGGCCCTACCAAGAGGAAGTTTAGCGCCTTCATCTCCTAGCTAAAGAGGTTGTTTTACTGTACCAAGACTAGCTAGTTTAGGACTGGAAGTCTTTGAAGGTCGTGCTGTCCTGATGCTTTGAAAGGGTTTTGAAGCTCACTGACCCGGCGCCAAAGGGGTTTCAGTCGGCCCCCTTCGTTTCGGCGGGTGGTGCCCAGCGGGTGAAGTGGAAGACTTCGCGGCGAAGGAAGATCATGATAGATCAAGACTTCTTCTGAACAAAACTGACTAAGATGCCAAACATCAGTGGTTTTTGTTTGAAACTGCTTAAGTTGCATTTTTTGGTGGAAGTCGGGGACACCGAAACGACGAAACGGTTCGACAGGGTCATCTTCGAGGGCGCACTCAGGGTTCGATCTGTGACGAAATGGGTACATCGGACTCCATTTCGGCAGTGGTCACCGTGCCCGAAAAATCAGGATTTCCTACAAGTTCAAGGGCCAAGTGAAACCTGGTACAAGAGACCTCATTTAGTACTGGTTCTGCATGACAGGACCCAGTCAATTGAGGTCCGTAAGACCTGTAAGGATTACTTTACTTCGAGTGATCCCTACCATGACATTTCAATCATTTGTTTTCATACCATGGTGAGGAGCATGTTGCCATGGGTTTTGGTGGTGTTCGATATTGCAGATCCTCCGGTTTGTTCTTTTCATGTTCGGGAATGCGCGTCGCGGTCTCCAGTGGTGGCATCCAAAAAGTGCTGTGACCAGAGAGACAGGTATAGTTCTATTACGTAAAGATCTTCTTGTGCTGGTGTGTTTGAGTGCTCTCCTTACTAAGCCATAGGTGTATCCAGTATGGTATGGTGTATCCAGGATAGAGTCATAGGTATGGCTCTATGCTAGGTATGATGTCTAAGCCATAGGTGTATCCTGTTTGTATCAATATACGTATACCCTCATCTTCAACTACTAAATGTAAACTCCGGTGCGAATGCGTACTAAGTTTAACCAGGGTAAGTAGCGTACCTATTTCGCAACTAAGTTTACTCGAGGTGATTGAGATGATTGCATTACGTAGTTGTTGGTTTTTGAACGTAGTTGTGAACTCCTAGAGTATACTCCGTATCTTCTCAGATCCTAGGGTTACCAACGTAGTTGGAAGCTCTGGGTATATATATATATATATTATCCATGAGGTCAAGACGTTGGGGAGAGAAGGACGGACGCCCTCTTCCACGTCATGTTCCCATGCGGTGAAAAACACCGTCAGGAGACTTTTGCAAAGACCTCTTGGTGCTTGTCCTGGCGGTCCCCACGGTCCTCGCCTTCCTCGCTTGGCAAGTCTACACCGAGCTGATCTTCATGCACTCCGGTGGGGGCGGGTGGCATGGAAAAACCGAAAACACTGTGTCGGGGCATGCCTCAGCGAACATCTTTCATGTGCACCAAACTAATCAAAATTATACAGTGGTTTCGGAGGTTCGATGGCACAATCCCCGAAAGGTGATTTATGTGGATCCCCATCTTAAAGGACATCTTGGGGTCTCTACCATCTACTCTGAAACCACCGTAGTAAATATCACTTGCTTGAAACAGGTCGTTGGACCACACAAATGGCCATGCCTCCCAAACAAATTCCTTTTTTGGCCCGTTGAGCCCGCCGACCAGTGAACCCCTATTCACAAGAATGCCACAGATCCTGCAACCATTACTCTCTCTCCCCCTCCCTCCCTTCCTCCCCCGCTCCCTTGTGCTCTCTTTGTCTCTCTTTGTCCCTCTCCCTCACTTTCCCTATCCTTCTCCTTCTTTCTCATAGTTATTATTCCAAAGGTTGTTGTTAGAGACTAAAGGATTCCTCTTTGCTACTCCGCTGTCCCACCGATACGGGCAAGGGATGTTGCTGTTCTGAGCAGAACGGAGGAGGGAAACCGAAGAGGACACAGGATGTTGCTGCCTGTCTACCTTGCCTTGCTGCTATGTTCAAGATGCAAGGCATGTTGTGGATTTTTATCTTGACCGCTACCACAAACCACCTTTCAATGGAAGAGCAACACTGCTATGTTTCATTCATTGCTAAGTTCATTTCCCAAAGAGAAAAGCCTTACTTGGGCAGGGCCCTTGCGCTTGACTACAAACCATTATGCCCATTTGCCTGCTTTAATTCATTGCCTTGCCTTTTTAAGGACCAGACATGTTACCGCTCTGCCTTCTGACACAAAAGCACGATGGATATTAATCTTTATCCTGAATAGCCCTGTTTCCTTGGGAATTGGGATTGCAGAAAGTGCTGCTCTTCCTAAGGTATCTTTGATTGAAGAGGATGGGTGCGACTGCACTATTTCTTTCCCTGGAAAGACTTAACAGGAATTAAGATGAAGAAAATGAGCAGGCCTGTTCCTACCTTTGCGCCTTACTACTTACTACTCTCCGTGTGTTAAGAAGAAAAGAAGTGATATTATGCCTTGTCCTGCTTACTATCCTCTCTTTTACAAGAAGGCAATGGTGCTACTACTCTCTTCTTGCCACAAGGAGGCTACTGCATTTTATCTTCAGTATGGCACTCCTCCTTCTCATGCTGTTCTTCCTTCCAGCAGAATATAGAGAAAGGTCTTAGTCCGCTCCTCCATCTTCCCAATTGCGCATTATTGCGCTTTCATATGTCGGATCTTTTTGCTTTTTGCTACAAAAAGCAGCACTAAACTCCTCATCCAGTCGCCCGCCCTTCATAGGAATAATTGCAACACGCACTCTTACTTACCGCTCGTTTCGAAACTGCTCCCTCTGGCAGAAGAGGCCACTAAATTTTGCTACCAGAAACTTACCTCTTCTTCCTTTCTACGATCCATCGTTAAAGACAGTGGGTATGGAGTGGTATTACTTTGCTTCCATACTAGCCACACGTCTTGATGAGGACGAGGCACCTCTTTTTGAACAAACCCCTCCTGTAAAGAAGCGACCAGGATGTTATTACGCCACTGCCCTTGGTGAAAACGAGGCAAAGGATGTCACTTCGTCCTTCTATATCCTCTATATCCCTTTCGGGGACAACCAGGGCCCAGTGAAGACTCTGGTGGGTCCTTTTTCAAGAACGACCTCTTTGAACGACCACGACCAACCCTATCAACACACCGTCAAAACAATCCTATTCAAAAACGGGGGTCGAATGGGTTGTGCAGGTCTATCTAACTGCTTCATTCCGGTCTCATGGTTGACTGCCTCGATGGCGACTGCCTCAGAGACACTTCTCAGTATCTTTCATCCAGTTCCTTTGCACTGAGAGCTATCCTTTCAGCAAGACCTCTATAGCCCCCACCTCACTTAATCGTTTTAATTCATTCCCCATGATTCTTATGGGATGCCACACCTCCCAAAATCGTTGTTGATTCCATCTCTCCCCCCCAAAAAAAAGACACCTTCAAGCACAGGAAAGCTCCCCTCGGGTTTGGAGCGCATGGAGAAAAAACCACCTTCTCGCGGGAAGGCCATGAAACCTGGGGCGGTCTGCTCTTCGCCGCGGCCGCCTTGATCACCTTCGTGGCCGCACGGAAGGTTCGTTCACCGCGTCGGTGCGGGGACGGGGACGGGGCGGCCGAACGTTCGGCGCGGGCGCCGCCTGGTCGGCGCGAAGAGAGGGTGTGTGTTTTAGTAGGGGGACCCTCTCAGCTCATGGGTAGACATGGTCTATAGTCCCTGGTGAAAAGGGGATCGGGATGCCTGGTCTCCAGATTTGATCGCAAATCTGAAAGATAAGCTGGTTCCTTTGCCTATAGGAGTTGCCCCTGTCACACCTGTGGAAGACTTTCCTCTCACTCCAAACACTTCGGGTTGGAAGGTCTACCATCTGGGGAATCGACGCTTCGAAGATCTCGCCCTCGCAGCTCAACCAGCAGCTCGGCTTGGCGGGGTCAAGTCGTTTTGTTGGCTCGATTTTTCCCTCACTTGGTCCTGAATAGACCGGAAGAGGGTCTCAAGTGTTCTTGGAGGTCCTGAATCTGAATCTCTTTGAGGTCCATATTGACTTCGGAAAAGACCGTGTTTTCCGTTCAACTCCTCAGGAGACGACAGCAGACCTCGCAGACGAGAACGGAACCGGCGAGTCGGCGCTTCCACCGGTGGAGCACGTGGCGGTGTAGCCGAGCGCCGAGTGCGCGCGCGCCGTGCTGCGATGTGTGGAGCACGTGTTAAGAACCGAAGAAGAACATCAAAACAACGATAACCAGCTGTCAATGTGTGTGTCGTTCAATCTACATGTCAAAATGTTTGAACATTCTAACTATAAGATTAAAAAAAAAAAACATCGAACACAAGTCTGAGCGCAAGTGATAGGAACCTCCGAGCGCCAGCGACGGCGCGTCGCTCGTCCAGCGACGGGCTGTGGGGAGCGCCGTTTGGAAGGCGGCCACCTCGAGGTGTGACCCGTTTGGCTCCAGGGTTTGACCTCCCAAAAACACCGCAGCAGGCATTCGCAGGGCAACCCAAAACGAGTTTGCGAGCACAGGAACCCCAGAACTACACCAAGAACTACCCGAACTACTCGAGGGCCCTGCGAAACACCAGCCGTTGCCGGCCTGGATTCCGGAAATCCCGTTAGCTGCACCGCGTGAGCCACGTATAGCTTGCTGTAGGAGTCGGTTTTTCCCGGTCAGTTGCCACGATTCGGGTCACTAGACCTCTGAGCGATCCGACGATATTCTTTCATGAAGAAGTGAAGGGGCAGCTTCTTCAGTTCGTGACCGAACTTGAAGGTGACCCTACTCGTGACCCTACTCGGCTTCAGTGACCGAACCAACCAGGTTATCAAGGTGCAGTCACTTTGAAGAACCTGGGGGCTGGAATTTGGTTTGTGGAGGGCCTGGAAGCCAAGCTGTTTGGTTTCTGTCCGCGGGTACAGGCCCGAAACGCTCGGCTCGAGGGCCTTGAGGCCTGCAGGGTGGCCCTGGAAGAAGGCGGATGTGAGGCCCAAAGGCTGAATCATCTCCCGTGTTCGGGGAGTTATGAAGTCATGAGGTTTTTCAGCCAATCCTTGGGCCGAGCATCAGTGCAAAAAAAGACAGGGGCCACCCTGCATCAAACATCCATAAGCATCCCAAATTGCCCAACTGTTCTTCGACTCCCAAATTTTTCGGCAGCGAACCAACATGGGGGAAGGAAGGAAATTCTACATCACAACGTATATTTCCCAATGGAACTGATCTTGTTTGGGAGACGGGTTTAGGTGGATGCTTGATTTTCTCAGCTGTTTCACAGGCTGGAGCAATTGGTAGACCTTCTGGCTGAGCCATGTTTGTCGGACTGCAGTGTTGCAGGCATGTACACGGAAGACGTTGCACTGTCCGAGACGAAAAGGGACGAAAGTCTTCAGACGGCAGGGTTTGCACGCCAGCGCTTTTTAAGAGAGAAACCGTCCAAAACGAGGGTTTTGGAGGTTTGAAAGGTATCACCAAGGGAGAATCTCGTGATATCTCATACTGCTAGACTAGATCCATCCATCATCATCCATCAGATAAAATGGAATTCTATCTTGAACTCCTCTGCCTGTGCCCAGCTGAAACTGGCTTCGCCACTTGTGAGTGTCGTCGCCATGTCGAGCGAGGACGCCAGAGTCTCAGAGTGGTTTGCTTTTTTTCGTTGGTTTTCAGGGAAGACCTTCGGTCAATTCCCGCCGCCAGTGGGTACAGGTAGCAAGCCTCCAAAAAAGAGGATCCACCTGTGATTCACCTGTCCCTTGGCTTTGGAAAAGGGGGGGGGTCGGTCACCCCACTCGCGCGGCTTTCCGCGGAACCCGCGGAACACGGCGGAACCCGCGGAACACGAGCGCCGGGCGAAGCCGCGCCAGGCACTTGGGCCTCTCGCACGCCGTCTTGGGGGCCGAGGGCTTGACGAACCTGGCGAAGTGCATGGTGGTGAATCAGGCGGGAGGGCCCTCCATGGGAGCGAAGGGCCTGACTGGGGGGAGCTTCGAACTGCTGCGGAAAGCCCCCACAAGAGAGTCCGATCCTGCTGGGCCTTTTCAGCTGTGCCAAAGCCTCCTGCCGAACTGGGACTGGTGGGACGGGCGAACTGGGCTGCATAGTTGGAAGATCTAGGTATGACTGGAGTACTCAGGATGCTGGAGCTGCCTGCTGGAGATTGGTAGGCAAAAAGATGGTGGGTGGCCCACTTCCAGTGGGAGCAGAGCTTTGTCAAAGGGAGCGCTTTGTAACGGGGGGGGCCAGATGCGACACTGAAGCCACCGAAGCCAGGTGTCTGTTCGAAACTTGGAAAGTGTATAGTCCATGGCAAGTTACATACCAGGACCCTCCAAGGGGTGCCCAAAGGTAGTGTGGGGTAGTCCATGGGACACCCCGACAGGAGGGTCCTGGTATAGAGACTTCTTAGCGAAATTCCGTTCTTGGACGAACGGACGGACTCGCGTCGTCAGCAGTTGTGAGATACATCGAGTCAGATGGATGTTCGGCAGGTCCCGAGGATCTGTTTATGGCCGAGATGTTCACGACAAGACAAGATGACAAGAGCTCCACGAGGTTTCGGTGGCTAGGGCTCCCCAAATGCAGTGGTTGAACAAAAAGAAACAGAACGATACCCAATGGGTGTCCTGTCTGAAGATCCTTTAGGGGCAGACAGGATGGTCTTGGTTTGTAGTTCACAGCCAGAAATTGAACCATGCAGCTGCATCTGCCTAGAGAATAGAACTACGTAGAATAGACTGAATGAGGAGACGACCCAAACTGGTCAGGGTCGCCAAACATGCCTTGGACCAGATCAATGCATTTTCCCTCCCTCCAAAGCTGAAAAAAGAAACAGCAAACGGATCTTCCTCAAACTAGAGAGTCACCAGCTCCTCTTCCCCACCTGCTAGGCGAGGGTCTTTAGATGTTAAACGTGTTGCTCCATCCACCTCCACCCCTAGTACCATCCATCCGCCTTCCGTCCTTCCTGCCGGACAGTCCTCCTTTTTTTCCTGCCGTCTAAATCGCTCAGGGTGGGCGATCACTCGTTGTCTCACGTGTTTTCTTTCATCCCCCCGGAGACTTCGTCTCCAACCGGTCGCCGCCTACCGCTTCTCCCGCGTGAAGCGCGTTGGAAAACGGCTCCGCGTATACGCGTGGACAACCCCCAACCCGCCGTTTGCGGGGTCTGATGGAGGCGCTGCGGAGCCTCAACTTGTCCGGGAATCTCATGGACGAAGCGGTCGCTGCCGCCTGGGGCGTCGCCATAGGCCTGGCCTTGGGGGGTTCGGTTCGGCGAAGTGGTGGTGTTCCGTTCAGAGCTTCGGATGTGGTTGGTTTCCGGAAGGGTCTGATTTGGTGAGGTGTCATTTTGGATGGCAGCTTGGTGTTGTATTTCTATATGTTTCGAGCTTTCAGACTATGTTATACGTCTTTTTTCGTTGAGTTGGGTGTATGGTTTGATGGTTTCGTTGATTGAAATAACTTTCCTCCCCTCTTCTTTTCCAGATCCCGCAAGCCGATGGAGCGAGTAGAGAGTGACCAGCTAGCTTTGGGGGGGGGTTGCCAGGTCTGGCACTGATGAGAAGAGTCAGCTATTGAATCTTGAGAAGTCCTCACTAGATGAAGATGCTCAAGACATGTTGAACGAGGCGTGTTTCTTCATCCGCTCAAAAAACGAACGACTCTTTATGGCGAATCATGAAAGATTGCGTTGATCCATGAGTTCCTGCATGTTCCCGCGTTCCCGCGCACTCGATGGCACGGGAAGTGTCCAGACTCCAATATAAGGGTGTGTACCAAATAGAGATATTCCGCACTCATGACTCACGGGTGTGCATCTCTATCATGTACTAAATTTGCATAGAGATGATGAGAGATGGACCAAACCCAAACTTGACCGTCTTGCGCAGTACTACTCTTAAGACCTTTGTCCATCTTTGTCTCTTTATTTGGTTTACCCAGACGCTCATGGCTCATATGGAGGGGTCAGGGGTCTCAAATCCCTACTTTTTGAGGGGACCAGTCGGACTGTGAACGGAGCGTTTGGGTCGATTTTTGGTCTCCAAAGGTTCTTTCGTGCAGGGATCAAAGCACAGCTCCGGCCATGGGGTTCCTCGGTTCGGCGTCCACACCGAACCGTGACTCCGCCGGTCGGTGCCGAACCACCGAACCACCTTCGATCGGCAGGCTGCAACAAGTCGCTCCGGCATTTGGTGCTCTGCGCCTGTCATATCACCGACGCCCGGTTTGTCCAAGAGAGTGTGTTTTTTAAGACGTGGTACCTAGTGGTACCTATGGGCTAGGCTGTAGAGTCAGAGCTTTTCAACCTCTCTAGGTCTGGTAAGACGTGGGTCCTGTGTTCAAAGTCTTTTCCTGCAAAGGGACGGGTGAACGTTTGCAGCTAAGAGGCAGGGTGAACGAATGCAGGGTGGTCGGCAGTGATTGAAGAAGCGGAGAAGTGGCAACAACATCAGTTTGCACCGTCCTTCTACCAAGCTCACGGATGGTCTATTCTCATGAATGCATAGAAAGCCGCTGAACGCAGCATTCCAAAGAAAGTGCCTGAATAGTGGAATAGAAACCTGATGCCTACCATTGTTGAGATTGTATTGGCTCGGCATTCAGAATGTTGCATGGACTTTGGCATTGAATCCGGCGTTTTCCTAGCGATGTTGGACATAGGTGACCTGGTTCTTCAGTTCGTGACCGTCCTTGATCATCTGGTTTGAGGTCACTTACAGGCCTGTAACAGGGACTCCAAACAGGGACTCCAAAAAGGTCACGAACTGAAGAAGCTGGGATATAATGGGCGCCCGTGTTTCTTCAGTGAGACGTCATATTTGCCCCTAACTAAGAAGCGAGCAGAACGCCCATGCCCAGCTGAGTCAACACGAATGGATGAGATATGATACCGACTCAAAACGCCCCAAGCGCTCTGCCCAAAGAATCTCTACCAATCCCAAGAACTACTAGTAGCCAGAAGCTACGACCGGTTGGAGGCCATCGCTAGTAGGTTGGAAGCCATTACTACTTGGGCTTTTCGCCTTCCAATGCCTACAGGGCGCCCTGTGTGGGCGCCTCGGGCGCCTGCCGTCGTCCGCTCAGGACGCCTCCGGACTCCTGTTAGCACGCGGCCTCGCGCAGAACGAAGGCGACGGGGCTCAGCCCGGGTGATGCCCATCATGACCAGAGACGGGGAGAGAGACGTCTCATCGATGAGACGGGTGAAACGAACGTATATAACACATG